ACTTAAGTGGGAAAGGTCAACAAATGTGACCGAGGTTCGCAGCTTCCTAGGACTGACAAGGTACTATAGGCGTTTTGTAAAAGGATTCTCAAAGATAGTACTTCTCCTGACTCGACTGACCCAGAAGAATGCAAAATTTGTATGGTCAGAGGAGTGTGAGAGGAGTTTCCAGGAATTTAAGAAGAGGCTAGTCACAGCCCCGATATTAGCCTTGCCCGAAGGAAATGAAGACTTTGTGGTTTATACCGATGCATCACATAAAAGGCTCGGGTGTGTACTTATGTAAAGGGGTAAAGTTATTGCTCATGCCTCCAGACGGCTAAAGCCGTATGAGCATAACTATCCCACTTACAACTTGGAGCTCGCGGCAGTAGTATTCACGTTAAAAATATGGAGAAACCACCTTTATGGGGCCTAGTTTTAAGGTGTTCATAGACCACAAGAGCCTCAAGTACCTATTTTCCCATAAAGAGTTGAACATGAGGCCAAGAAAATGGATGGACTTATTGAATGATTATGATTGTACAATCGATTACCAACCAAGCAAGACCAATGTAGTGGCCGATGCCCTAAATCGAAAAGTTGTGGTTTCAATGGTACATTTGATGGTTCAAGAAATGAAGCTATTAGAGGATGTGGAGTGGCACCCGTCTCAGCCCCTCAGTGAGGGGGAAGGTATGCTATCGTGTTTAAGGAGGGAACCCCAACTGTACCTTCTATCTCTTTCTCTAAAATTTGATATAGTTTCTCTCTACCATTTTTTAAGATACTTTCTCTCTCTAAAACTTAAAATTTGAGATAGTTTCTCTATATAAAACTTATGAGATAGTTTCTCTCTAAAAAGTTTTAGATAGTTTATCTCTCTAAAATTAGATATAGTTTCTCTCTCTAAAATTTTAAGATACTTTCTCTCTAAAACATAAAATTTGAGATAGTTGCTCTCTTTAATTATTGGTAGTGTTTTGGATAAATTAATTGTATTTTATAAAGTGAGAGTCTCCGAAACGGGGTGATCTGGATGGAAATCAATTTTCGAGGGTAAAAACAAAGATACATGTTTCTTTATTTTTGGCTTGAATTGAGGAAAATAAATTATTGACCGAAAAAATTTATGTCAAAATTTTTGATCCAAACACTAGATATGTGCCATCTCCACCGTAAAAAATTTTTGGAAGTGTAATTTTGAGTATCCAAACAGCCCCTTAAGGAATTCCTAAGAAGATTAAAGGACTATTAATAGCATATTCAATTGAATTGACGTCGTAATCTAAACTCCTCTTCAAGAGACCAAAGAATTTGGGAGAGTAACAAGGAGCAAGTCTCCTTGTATCACAAATAGTGCACCTCATGTTATTTGTGTCTTTCTACTTTGATTTTCTTATTTTTGTAATATTTGATCTTGTGTATTTTTTTTTTTTTTTTTTTTTTTTGTACAAGGAGCACAAATTATTATTAATAAAAAGGTTACCCAAACAGGATTACATAAGAAGAAATAGAAAGCGAAGGTAGCGACGCTCCCTCTTTGGCTAAGGAGTCTGCTAAGCCGTTAATTTCCCTGAAAACATACTGAAAAGTAGCTGGAACACTAATCACCATATCAAGAATTTGAAGCCATAGAGATTTGAGTTCTTAGGAGACCTTATTTCCTTATACCACTTAATAGCATTCTACAAATCCCCCTCAATCATACAAGGTCTGCCCACAAAATTTGAATTAAGTAATTTTAGACCTTGTAGAAGAGTTGTCATTTCAGCAAAATTAGCAGTGGCTTCTTCAATCGGACCTGCAAATGAGAGAAGGACCAGACCCTTGGAATCACGAACCAGTTCCCCAATACCTGCTCTCCCAGGGTTACTTAGAGAGCTTCCATCAAAATTTAACTTGAGGATATTAAGGGGAGGTGGACACCAAATAGTCTTAGGCCTAAACCGAGCGGGGCCCAGAGAGACGAAATTGTGGAGTTGAGTCATAACATCCACTTATGATATGCCCTAACCTTCTTTGTTGCAGTCAACCAGCACGACAAGGATGCTTGATTTTGAGGAGTACCCTTTCAAAGGGGAGGCAATCCCCTTCAAAGTACGCCTATTTCTCTCCAACCAGATTTCCCACAAAATCACACCCCTGGCTATCATCAAAATAGCTTTTCCATCCTTTGGCAAATTGGATATAGACAGATGTGTTACAATACCAGCCACATCCTAGGGCATGGGCATGCTAAAACGTATCATGACCAAAAACCAATGCCAAATCCTAGTAGCAAATTGGCAGTGAAGGAAAAGGTAAACCCCAGATTCAGCATCGTCCTTATACATCAAACAAATGTTTGGAAGAATTTTACCTCTTTTGATAAGATTATCAACAGTGAGAATCTTATCTTGTGCCGCAAGCCAAATGAAAATATGAACTTTTTGAGGTATTTGTCACTTCTAGATCTTTACCACATGTAGCATTGACCAACTCCACCGGTCATGAAAGAGAAATATGTACCATGACTTGATTGAAAACACACCATCACTCCTTCTTCCCATATAACCTCATCTTCCGGCGCAATTGGTAACCCCTTTCAGCAAGTCTAAGAGAGAGCTCAACTGCTCTATAAGTTCATCATTCAATCTGTTATATGAAAAGTTCACATTCCAAAATACTTGGGTACCCACTTCTTCACAAACATCAACAACTTTGGCATTTGGGTTGGTTACCTTATTGAATAACTCATGAAACAAGAGTTTCAAAGAGCAGTCCTTAACCCACTTATGATGCCAAAAGAAAATGTGAGAATTATCACTAACAACCCATCTTATACTTCCATCAATGGGTGGTTTACATAGAACAATAGGTCTCCATAAAGAAGATCCAACCCCTCTTCCACCTGTCCCTAACCATATACCATGTCTATCCATCCCATATTTTACAGCTAAAACTTTGCACCACAACTGATTTTTCAAAAGGAGACTCCGCCACATCATTTACATAAGAGAACCTCATTAACCAATTTAATTCTTCGAATCCCCAACCCTCCTTCACTTTTTGGGGTTCACACTCTATCCCATCTCAAAGGATGATATTTTCTATCATCACCATAAGAGCCCCACAAAAATCACGCATCATCCTTTCTATTTTTTTACAAACAGTTGCGAGCATAAGAAGGATTGACATAGGAAGGATTGACATCTAGTAAATGGGCAAATTAGCCAAACACGATTGAAGCAACTTAGCCCTTCCTCCTAAGGATAAGTATTTAGGCTTCCATAGGTTCAACTTGGTTTGGACTCAGTGGATGACTAAATCCCAAGCAGACATGGTAAGTCTTCTATCCAAAATAGGCAGCCCCAAATAAGTGATTGGGAATCGATCCACCCTACAACCCAAAGCCTTTGCCAATTCATGGACCAAGCCATCCTCACAATTTATACCAATCAAGGAGGTTTTGTTAAAATTAACTCTCAAGCCAATTATTACCTTACAAATATTGAAAAAAGTATCTATATTGTTGACCAATATAAGATCTGCATCACAGAAAAGCAAAGTAACATCCGCATATTGCAAATGCGATACTTGTATACTAGCATCCCCAACTTCAAATCCCCTGAAATAACATCTTTTCTCTATATTATTAATCATCGGACTAAAACAATATGCATATAGAATAAAAAAAAAATGTGGTAGGGGATCGCCTTGCCTTAATCCCCTCAATACTCTAACGAAACCTGTGAGACTAACTTTAAAAAGGAAATGAGCAAAGGAAATACAACCAAAGATCCAATTTCTCCATTTTCCCCCAAACCCCATCTTCTTCATAACTTCTAGTAGAACACCCAATAAGAATTGAACTACCCAACACTTAGGTTGTATTTTCTTCTATATTATAGACACTTAGTCTTTATTGCTTTGGGCGGTTTAAAAGTTGGATCTTGGATCTTCAAATTTCCCAAACACATATTTTGAGCAGCTAAAAAAATTGGACTCCCAAACCACCCAAATGCATCAATATGTTTGTATTTTTTGCTATTCGAAAATTAAAATTTTGAACTAACAGTAACATGAGACCGGCAAGCAAAACTCTAAAAAATAGACCTCAATATTGGAAAATTTTTATATAAGGCTAAGGCTTGAAAGAATCAAATTAAAGCACACTTCAAAACTTCATTAGAAGTGTTTATTTCTATATTAAAAAGCTCTCCAATCATATCAACCTCAAGATGCATAGACGTGAAAAATAAATGAATTTCAAGTATGGGAAATAGTTCATCTTGTATGCATCATCTAGGGTGTCAATTTTCATTATTTTTTAGTGTTTATAGATATGTTCGATCTACACTATTTTTGAAGCTTTAAATTTTATAATTAGAAATGAAAATAAATTATTGCCATCACAAGATTTTTTCTACTAAAATATTATCTTTCGATGATATTTGATATGGTTTGTACAATGTTGAGGCCCTAAAACATCAAAATAAGGTGCATTTCTAAATGGGAATGAGAGCATTAACTTTGATACAAGGTTGTCACAATATTCATCACCATTGGATGCGAAATGAAGTGGCTGCAATTATTCCATTGACAAGATCAAACTTTAAAAGAAAATTTTTTGAACTTCGTAATATATCCAAGCTATCCACTTTCACATCAAATGGTTGTAAAGAATTGTAACCACCTTGTAACAAAAGTAAACGATATCATTGTATACAATCCCTTTCTAAATTGTGTCGATAGATAACTTTTTAGTAGCAAAGATGACTGTAAAGTTTATTTTCATTTTGTAGTTATAAAATTAAAAAAAATATATAAATCGAACAGATCTATAAACAGTTAAAAATATTGATAATTAACGGTCTTGTTATGCATTAAAAAATGCACTATTCCCCAAACTTAAATCTAATTTTTTTTATATTTATACATCTCAAGGCTGAAATGATCAATTTGAGACTTTTTTTAAAGTCGAAATGATAAATTTGAGGCTTTTTTAACATCGAAACAACCTGCAGTGATTTTTGAGGTGCACCTTAATTTGAAGGTTGAGAGCCTCAACCTTCTATAAACTTCACTGATAATATCGCGTCTCTGCTAAGGTCCACCCATATATTTGACCAACCTTATATTATTCCAAGGTTGTTAACCACATAAAACCTCACGTGTGAGGCTCGACAACAATTACGCGAAATTGGAACATGGCCAATTATTACTTTCTCTTCGCCTTTTGCACCACCCTACCCTTTTGCACCACCCTGCACTTGAAAGTTAAAATGTGCATGGGTCGCGTCGGGTCGGGTCGAGTGCAAGGAGGAGATTTTGGATGCATGGATGCCGGGGTTGGGTAATTTTGATTCAAGTTCCACCAATTAAGTGAAAAAAATTTGGCGGTGGGGAAACTTTGAGAATCATTTCTTGGAAATGGAAGCCCGTCTGCTCAGTACGGCGAGACAGAGGAGGCGAAAGAGGACAAAAAACCCGAACATGATGTGTACGTTGAACCACCGGTGGCTTTGGTGAAGGCCCCTCCTTGACAGCACATCTCCGCCACTCACAGCGCACGTCCGCTCACCACCGCCGCCGCCGCCCTCAAACCACAGGAAGCACCGCGATACCCAACACGAGTACTCGTTTATTAGCAGCGCATCGAGAGCGTACTTGTAGATGGATAAGTAATGCATAAACACCCAGTACACGGGCATGCTCTCCTTTGATATGAAGTAGCCGGAAAACAGAAAGAAACCACCGAGACATACAGTCACAAGGGAGGTTCCGGCGATGTAGTCGGGGGCGAGAGTGCTCAAGAAGAGAACGAAAGAGTTGGCCATGAGCACCACCAGCCACACCACCAGAACGAAGAAGAGGAAGGCCTCCCAGGTGCGGCAGAGTCCCACTAAGAAGTAGACGCTCGCCGAATATATGACGGCGACGATAAGGAGGTAGGGCATGAAGATGATGGTGCCCGCGACCACATGAGAGGAGACCCTGTAGACCCCGCTTGATATCTCCTTGATCAGCACGGGCCTCTCGTTGATGAATATAGGGAGGGTCTCTGTGGTGGAGGAGAGCAAGAAGGTGAGGGTGAAGGCGAAGAGGCCGAACCTCTTCTGGATTCCTTGCTTGTCGAAGCCGAGATTGATGTAGATGCTCCCCAGGAAGAGGCCAACTATGAGGGCTTCGAGGGTGTTGGCGAGGAGTAATTGCTTGGTCCTGTAAATGATCTTCCATGACCTACAACACAATGTGTAAATCTCGTTGGTTCTAGAGCTCGGGTAGCCTAGTGCTGGTGGCAGAGGTGGGGGCACTTGAGGAAGTGAGAGCGGTGGTGGAGGTGGAGGCGGAGAAGGTTGAAGGTTTGGGAGCACGTCCATGGCGTACTCCAAGGGGTTGAGTTGAGCTGGTAGAGGGAAGCCCTGAGAGGACAGGAACAATGGATAGGAAGAGAGAGGGCCGTGGTGGATGAGGGAGCCACGAGAGAGGAGGAGGAGCGAGTGAAATGAGGAGAGGATTGCAGAGCTGGGCTGGTGGATGGACAGGATGACGGTGCATCCACGTGCCAGGGCCAGAGCACGGAGGGTGCGCACCAAGTGGAGAGCCGAGGCTGAGTCAAGGCCCGAGGTTGGCTCGTCAAGCAAAAGGACGGAGGGGTCATGGAGCAACGCCAGACCAATGGAAACACGACGCCGCTCACCACCGGACAGGGAGTGTGCGAGGCGGCAGTGGGCAACATGAGAGAGGCGGAGGTCAGAGAGAAGAGAGTCGAGAAAATCAGAGAGGGAAGGAGGAGGCAGATTGGGAAGTAGGAGCCGAGCGACGTAGGAGAATGTCTCGAGGACAGTGAGGAGAGGGAGGGAGGGGTCGTGTTGGGGTAGATGGGCGGAGAGTCTCCGGAAGGTTTTGGGATGGAGAGGGGCCGAGTTAAGAAGTAGATGGCCGGAGGTGGGGGCGGTGCGAGCAGCCAGGATGTCGAGGAGCGTGGACTTGCCGGCTCCGCTAGGGCCTACAATGGCAAGGAGCTCAGTGGGGTTTGCAGTGAAAGAGATTTCTCGGAGAATGTAAGATGAAGAGGTGGAGGTGGTGATGGTGGTGGTGGAGGAGGAAAAGAGGCGGGAGAGGCAGAAGCGGGCAGGCTTGGCGTAGGAAATGGAAACAGCGGTGAAGGTGCAGTGCTTGCGGGTGTTGCATCCGCGCTGCGGCACAATCACCTGCGCCTCGTCGGCCATGAGGATCACCTCTGCTTTTCTTAAGCGATACATAATATGTATGCGTTTTTTTAGTGCATTATTGCGATCCGGACTAAACTAATAATAGATGACTACAGAGGGCACGTGAGTACCTTCACAGGGATTATGTACAGCAAACATAATTATTGCGATCCTGACCAGAAAAAATAATAGTAGATGACTACAGAGGGCACGTGAGTACCACAGGGATTATGAACACTATACGCACATTTGAGGGATGCTCCCAGTTTTGAGCCTGAAACGGTAGGGCCGGGCTGCGGCCTAGGCCAGGCTGTGCTACCATTCATATTAACACGGCCCAAAAGTCGCAGCCCTAGCTGGTCTGGCGCTCCATAAATATGGAAAAAACATAAAACTTATATATTTCTCTTTTTCGAACTCTCCATTTTGAATGGAAGGCTAAGATTGTTTCAATCACAATGTCATGTCTGTATACTATTTTATTTTTAATTTTTTTTGTAAACTATTTTGACACCAAATTTTGGACGTCCAATCCTCTATTAAACCCACACTAGCAAAAAATATTAAAAAAAATATTTCAATAAAATAAAATGACCAAAATACCTTTGAAAGTCTCAAGGGGTATTTTAATCATTATATTTTATTAAAAAAATATTTTTTATAGGTACATCCCAATGAGAAGATGACACTTACTAAATTTCATATTCATACAATTTGTATAAAAAAAATAAAAATAAAATACTTTGAGACATCAGATCTAAGATCAAACGGTGAGTGACTCTCTTGATCAAAATTGGACGGCTGGATGGTAGGGGCAGCATAGATCGTATATGTTGTAGAGGAAATATAGAAACATTTCCCATGTATCTAATGGGAGAGCATGAGGTGAGCCTGCTAGTTATCCAGATTGAATCTTGACCGATCGAATGTGGTCACGTATTTTATGTTTGAATTTTAACATTTTTTCTACATATCTAAATAACTTGAAATTTTGAGTACATATTTTTAAAAAATAGACGAATCTAATAAAAATATTAAAAAATAATTTATAAAAATTAAAATAATCAAAATATCTCTAAAAAATTTTAGGGGTATTTTGATCGATTTAATTTTTAAGAATAATTATTTTAATATTTTTATTGTTGTATATTGATGAGAAGAGTAGACGCTTCAAATTTCATAAAATTCGGATCCATAAAATTAGGATCCATGAAATTCGTATCACATCTAATATATATTATTGAAAGAGTTTATGTGATGCGAGTGTTGGCCTAAATTTGATAATGAAACATTCTAGGCTTATAGTACTTAGTTCCGGGCCCAATATGGCGCACAAACCCGACTCAAGAGCCCCCGATCCAAGGCCATTAACAACCTCAATATTCTCCATTGAGTCCTTACATTGATCCAGATTCAATTCCGAAGGATCAATTTACTAGAGCTTGTGGAGGGCGATCCTATATTAAAGAAGCCTAGAATCACCCAATGCTCCTTGTTCTTGTTCTTTGTATTATTTAATTATGATTCCACTACATAACCGATAAAAAGACATTCATCACCGCCAATTCAGCATGTGAGCGAGAAGTAATTTCAAGTTTTTAAGTTCAGAACTAATTTCAGCACTGAATCACATGAATAAATTCAAAAATAATTTTAGGTCTTAAAACAACCACCAAGTCTATCCTTTGTGAGCAAAGAGCAAAAATCACTTAAGCATAAAATCATGCTCCATGGTCTACATAAAGGGAGAGTCCAATGACCTCGTTAGCAATTGATGTCAAGCAATGTTACATCTCAAGTCTGATTCCTATCACTCATCATCATCATTTTAGATTTTTTTTAATTAATTAAGATTGACTACATGAATCATGAATATTCATTCTACTCTATTAAAGATCATATCTTAATTTCTGATTTCTATGACTAAACTAAATTTTTTTTAAAAAAATCCAATAAGTCCACTCTAAACCCGTGAGGTTCTTTCCATGGAGAAGAAGGGAGTCACGTGCGAGCATGAAACTGTTCCTGAAATCAGATTAGGAGAGGATGAATGGGAGTCCTCATGACGATTGCGGGGAATAGGTGTCACATGTGAGCATAGTTTCACATGTGAACATAGTTTCTTGTGCACTTTTTATAGGCAGCCAAACTTGTCATTATTGTTGCACACTTTGCAATTGCTGCTGGGCCAAAATCCGAAACGATTTCGAATTGCAAATTAGGTATACTTGGAAAAAGACTGTCGCTTAAACTTGGCCCAGATGTTTTTTCTTGGGAAAATAACATTTTGTGGGTCAAAATCCCTTTCAAAAACATTAAAAAGTTCAAAAGATCGTAATCAATGTCGGGATCGTTTCATTTTAATTAAGTACCTCTTTCAAAGATTGTTCAAATTGATCCAATTCAATATTTATCTTTATCTTAATGATGTAGGGTCAGTTACATGAATCTTAATCATCAGTTTTTATCTATCAAGAGTTGTTCGAATCCATCTGTTTTTTCTCTTTTTCTCACTTGTTTTTTCTTTTTATTTTTTTTCTCTTCTTCTCTTTCTCTCTCCTCTTTCACGAAGAGCAGAACCCGTCGCCGTATATGTTTCACTGTTTCTCCTTCTCTTCTTCTCTCTTCCCTTCCCTTGCTGTTTCATATAACCCTCATCTTCCCTTTTCCCTGTAGTCCCTCACAACCATAATTTTTTCCTCTCCCTTCTTGTGGTCCAACTTTCTTTCTCTTAGTCTTTTCTCTTTTTCTTTCTCTTCTCTTGCTCTCTTTCTCTTTCGTTCTCTCTCTTCTTCTCTTTTCTCTTCCCTCTCTCTTTCTCTCTCCTCTTTTATTGACAACGGAACCCATCACTATATGTATTTCACTGCTTCTTTTCTTCTTCTCTCTTCCCTTCCCTTGTGGTTTCGTATGACCACAATGCTCCTCTTCCCTCTTTCTTATAGTCCCTCACGACCACAACTTTCTCCTGTCTCTCTTTGTGGTCTAACATGACCACAATGTCTCTCTACTTATCCTTTTATCCCTTGCATATCCACTTGCTCCCTGTATACCCTCGGGTCCAGCTCCTCCTTATTTATTCGATAGTCTTTCATGACCACCTGGTTCTGTGCACCTTTATATCACCTCCCTTTTGTGCACCCACCTTCCCATCTCCTCCCTTTTGTGCACCCTCGTGTTCTTTTTTTTTTCCTCGCACGATCCGTAATCCCGCACGACCACCATTCCCCAAACCTTTCTACCCAACACGGCCTGTGCAACCCACCTTACTGCAGCTCGTTAAACATAACATATTACCCTTTGTTCCCCAAACCTTTCTACCCAACGCGGTCTATGCAACCCACCTACCATAACCTATCGCCGTTTGTAAAACATAACCTATCGCCATTTGTAAAACATAATCTATTGCGGTGTGGGGAAACATAACCCATCACCGTATGTAAAACATAACCTATCGCTATATGTGAAACTTAACCTATCGCCGGCAGTGAAACAAACCATCGCCGCGCGTGAACTCTACCACAACGCCGTGTGTGAATTCCGCAACCCATCTCCATGCCACAGCCGTGCACGACCCATACCCCGCTGCCGTGCAGCACCGAACTTTCTTCACCACCAAGCCCGTGACCACAGCCCCTGTCCTCCACCTCTCTCAGACCCTATCCTCCACCTCTCAGCCCCTTGTTGCCCCTCTCAGCCACCTGCTGCTCTGTCCGCTACCTCGTACGGCCCCATTTTCTCTTCCTCAACCTGCAACTCATCCTCCCATCGTCATCTCTCTCTAAAACTAAAGAAAAAGAGAAAAAACCCAACAGGCCTCCGGCAACCTTGCTTTGTGACCTCCTGCCCTCCCTGTTTCTCTCCTCTTTTCACCACCTCGTTGCAGCCCATTCTGCTGCAACCCATCCTTGCTGCTGCCGCCACCTTGCAGCCCCACCCTTGCTCGGCCACCTCCATCAAGCTATCTCCTCCACAGCTGAGCCACCTTCAGTCTCGGCCCTTTCTTCCTTCGCCATCATCAATTTCTTCCTCCTCACCTTCGCTGCCTCCACTACAACCAGCTACCACCATCTCCACACCTCTGCCTCTCTCTCAAATGCAGCCATTAGTTGCAGCGACCATCTCCGCAGCTCTGCTTCTCTAATCACCATCCACCTCACCCTCTTCTTTCTTCAACCGCTGCTCCACCATTTATTTTCGCCTTTGCAGACCCAGCTTGGCTGCTGCCCTTTCTCTCGCTCTCTATCCCCAATCCTCACAGATACCCCACTGTAACCTACTATTCTCTCTCTCTAAAGTCTCTGCAACTCTCACCCACAGGGCAACCTTCTGCTCTCTCTCTTACTCTAAAATCAAACCACACGGGCCTCCTTTCATCCTCTCCCTGCCGCCTGCAACCGCCGGCCCTTCCAAGATCTTCCTCTCTGTAATTTCAGGCTTTCTTTCCTTTTTGTTCCTTACTTCCGCTCCTTTTCGTTTCGCGTCACCCATCTCGTTTCATCCTGTTTTCGTCCTTCCTCCAAACTCATCTACAAAAACAATGACCCAATAACCCCCTCGTGACTTTCTTCTTCTTTCACTCTCTAAGCCTAATAACCCAATACCCCAATTCTCTGTTCACCAAATTGTACCTTTCTTTACTATTTTATACTATCCTCACCCATATATCACTGTCACTTTCTCTCTCTTAAATTAATGCATTATTTCTTTTTTCTTATACTATGTTACAGCCTTTCACAAAAGAACACAATTCTCAACTCTTTCTCACCTTTACCTAAAGCGTTATTTTATTTTATTTTATTTTTTAAAACTTTAGTTCCATCAACCCACTTACCCAACATCCTTCTCTCTTTCAAGTAATTCATCTTTTTATTTATTTATTTATTAAACCCTCCTATTTTATTCCTTTCACTCTTTTCCATTTACTTATTCCATTATACTCCTTCCTTTCATTTTATTTCATTTACCGCAATTGACTTCTCTTTACACCATTTCATTTTATTTATTTTTGCCTCACTTATTTTATCCTACCCTACCTTACTCTATTTTATTCATTTATTTTATTTTATTACCTAA